CCTAAACCCTTACACACTAAAGCCCTGACTCCTAACAGTTGGAATCTTGCAGTCAAAGGGCATCTGCAGCAGCCATGAGAAGCCCCTGATTAGGGCCCAGCAGGCAGAGACCTAAGCAGGACCGTAAACTGGGTTTAGGCTTTAGGGGTTTTAGGGTTTAGGGCCCTGAGCACGAAGACTGACAAAAAGTGGTCTTGCATGCACATGAGGTTCAAAGTTTGGGGCACCGATCAATTAAAACAAATCAAACAGCAAGAAAGACAGCAAGTAGGAGTTCGCTGCCTAGTGTCGGTATCTGGGAGTTGAGCTCAGATACACACTTTCTTGAGCCGTGTGTCCTTGTGCCCATCGCCTGCCCGTGGGAAGCCACCATCGCCCCACCTTCATGCAGATCAACACAAACTTTGACTATGGGGGCAAGGGTTCACCAAAGTGTAGGTCACCATACTATAGGGGCGCTGATCACTACAATGGGCAGTTTGGGGGCGGGGGGGGGGGGGGGGCGATTATAGTTATTCAGACCGAGACCCCTATATTCAGGGCCGGGCCCTACTGCCTTTGGCGATTGGAAACCATCTCGGCGCCGGCGCCCACTTGAACATTGTTCAAGGCTGTACCCGTTGTCGCTTCAGCGCAAGTTGGAGCTGGCTCGAAACGGCGCTGAGAATTGATTTCTGATGACCAGAGATAGCTACCAACACGAAAATCATTTCTAAACTTCCAAAGCACTCTATGGTAAATCCAACACACNNNNCACACACACACACCCACACGCACACGCACACACACGCACACATACGCACACACACGCACACACACAGATACATATTAATACATGCATGCAAGCATACATACGTACATACATACGTACATACGTACATACCTTGACATCCATGCATCCATCCATTCAGGCAGGCAGACAGACACAGACAGCACACACAGCACTCACACACACACACACACACCCTAGACCCCAAACTTTCAGACAGTAGCTTGTTGAAGCTTCTCGCCTGGCCCGAGGACACGTCCCACGCGCGGATCTCGGTCAGCCCTTCGGTGGTAGCGACCATCAACCAGAGGACACCTGCGTCTGGGTTCTGGTTATGGAAGTAAAAAACTAGGTTGCAAGGATAGGGATCCATAATAAAAAGAACATGGCTTCCCTAAATGGTAACTTGAATTGAGTTCCCTCGCAAGTACCCAGGCGTCCAAGTGGCACTAGCAGCCCGCTGCTTGCTTCCCTAGAATCTGAAAAAATAAACCCTATGCCCTATAATCCCTATAGGACTTAGATCCTACAACCCGACGGGTTCCTAACTCCTAAATCCTACCAGCAACCCCCAAGGGCCCTATTTACAGTTCCTTAAAACCGTATGTAGGTCCATTCGGCCACAGGTAAAGCTTTCAAGCACCTCAAATATGAAGCTCCAGAGCCTGCACCTGAAACGCGAGACGCAAAACGGTTGTTCAGAAAATCTGCAGACAATTCCCGAGGCTGGGGCAATTAAGACTCGAGGGGGAGGGGGACGGGGGAGGGGGAGGAGGACGAATGCGCTAAGACTGCTAAGAACGGGCACATAAGGCAAGGGCCCTCGCAACTAGAATAGGGTTTAAGGTGTTTTCGAGGAAAGAATAGACACAAACAGAAACCCCCAGTAATGACACGCCAAGCTTCGAAAGTACGATCATTAACAACGTCATAGTCGTCACCAGGATAAGCATCGTCGTTACCAACACTAAACTCACCTGCGCAGGCACCGCCGACAGGCAACATCATCACCACCAATATCATCGCCAAGTTCGTCATGGTCTGGCTTGATGCTGATGTGTGTGTGTCCTCTTTTTATCCCACTGCTGACATCCCAGCCGTTGTGACAACAGTCATCATCGCCACAGTCAGCGAAATCAGCATCAACATGCATCAACGTCATCGTGAGCGGCAGCATTTGCAGCATCTTCTTGCTAACCTAAGCTCACCGCCATCCCCGCCAGCTTGCCCAGCGGCACCTTGCACGTCTCACTCATCACCACCGCACCTGTGAAAACTTACCAAACCCCACAACCTAGACGCCTAAATGCCAAAACCCTAAATCCAGTGATTTATCAGCATCACCGCCAGCTCCTCATGACAGACGCACTCTGCTATTCGTCGCCTCATTTTTGTTCATGTCCTTTAGCCCTTGCGATCCCCTTCGCAGAGAAAGATGGCACGGTTTAGCGACCCGGACCTGAACTTGCGTCGTCTTGGGTTTGGGAATCACACGGGTAGTTCTCCAAATCAGGCTCGCTTTCAGGGTCCTTTATAAGGGTGCCGTACCATATTGGGGATCCAAAAAGGGACCCTACTTTAGAGAACTACTCACGTGGAGTGTGGTTTCGGATCCGCGTGATCTTGCGTCCCACTCTTTGCTCCGTTCCAGGCTGCATTCATTGAGCTTCCCGTGGATCTTCTGGTGAAAACTGTGGGGAGCACAGAATGAAAACACAAACTTTTAAGGGGCCTCAGGCACTGCTATGCGAGATACGTTCCCCACAGCATCATCATGATTCCTACGGTAAACCCTCGACTCTGCTATATAGGCTATATAGGTACTTAGGACGGGTTGGGACTGCTTAGCTTCTCGAGTTCATTCTGTTTCGACGGGCTTTCGGTGACAGGTCCCGAGACAGGATCCTCCGGAACTCCAAGGTCGAATCGAACAACAATTTGTGGTTTTGTTTCTGGCGCTTGGGCTTTTTGGTTTCTGGTTTAGGGGGCCAAGGGCTTTTGGTGTTTAGGGAGTTTAGGGATCAGGTTGCAGGGTTTAGAGTCCAGGGCGCCCATGGCCTTCATAGACGTCCTTCTGCACACCGATGATCTTTTCACGCTGCACTTTCACGGCCCCAGTGTGGGAATCCACTAACCTCATCACCTGGGCTTGGCATTCGACTGTTTGCTCCGGCCCGGTTAGTTTGGGATTTAAGTTTGAGGGTTTAGGGTTTTGGGTTTAAAATTTCGGGTTGCGTTCATCCCAAAACAGCGAAAAAGACACAGAGCTACTAACGGCTCCGGAGCCTGAGCTCCAAAAGGAGGAGAGATCTAAATCCACAGCAAGCAGTTAGGAGTTCCAGGGTCTACTCTCACCTTGAACTACCCAAAACCCCTACTTTTTTCGTAGGGGCCCTGTAAATTCCATACTGGGGCTTTATAACGCCACTATACCAAGAAGACCCGAAAAAGGCTTGGAGATGCTGCGCTCAGCCGAAGACCGACAAAGGACTGTCAGCTTCGGTGGCTCTCCGGCGGGTGTAGGGCTGTTGGGCTTATAAGTAGGGTTAGTAAGATGGGCTGTGAGAAAATCATAGTATCAGTTACAGGTAGAAGGGGCCGCCAATAAGACAGGACTAAGGGGTAGGGATACAGTTAGCAATTTGCGGTTTAGGCTGCAGAAGACTCTCAAGGTGAAGGGTTTTAGGGACGACAGGTTGGGTTTAATAGATAGGGATTCAAACAAAGGTTGCCTACTATTACTGAAGACTTTGCAAACATGATGAAGAACTGGAGGGGTGATTACAGTCGTGCGATGGTCTAAGCCCTCTGCGCTGCTTTGCCTCAGCCTTGTACCTGCAGAGCATTGCAACACCCTAAACCCAACTAAACTCTAAACCCCAAACCCTTCTGCCGGAGTTGCTGATTTCGACGCAGCTCTCCGCCGAAGAGAAACCTTAGAGGCTTAAAGGTTGGGAATTACGGCTTCCTTCGCTGAGGGGAGGTGGGAGCGTGCGAAAACTTGCAGCTTTGGGGTTTTAGGGTTTAGAGATCAAGGCATAGACTGTCGGGCATTGGGATTGCTATCCTACGAATAGGATCCTTATTACAGAGGAAATTGAGACGATAGTATCGTCAGATATCTCGGAAGTTGTTTAACGATCCTTAACGTAACGCCAAGTTGTCGGGGCCTGTATCTGGGTCTCTGATTCTCCGAGCTCCTCGGTGCTTCTTCCTTGAAAGGTCCAAGGAGCCACCATGTGCAACGGCTGAAGTAGCCGACCGGCTGCCGGGCACAGGATCACCTCATGGAGGCGCAGCTGATACACGGTTAAAAAGCCGGCATTCCCCCACAACCTGCTACAACAACGGCCACGACTCGACAACCTAAAACGGATACCCGAAAACCCGCTATTTATCCACAACCCCTTAACCGTTAAGTTTCTCACTTGGAGAATCAGCCGGTTGGGCTTGGGAATGTGGAAGGGATGAAGACATGGCAGCTCAGAAAACCCCGGTAGCCCTTGAAGGACAAGAGGGCCTAAAGAGGGTCGAGGTCTAAAGAGGGTCGAGGTTTATTGATCACAAACTTACCGTTCAGTGTCTACAAAAGCTGTACGGTGAAGTAGGCAATGTGCCACTGCAGGGGGGTCAGAATAAGTTATCTTTAGGGTTTATGTTCAACCGCTTAGGGCATAAAGTGTTTGGTCGACACGATGGCAAGCTCCATCTTCTTGTCGCCTCGTTGGGTTTTGGGCTGTCGCCTCCGGATTTTCTCAACACCAACAACCCCTAATGCTTGCGCCCAGAACTCGAAGCCCCACAACCCGGCAATGAGGGAAGCCAGGACCTGTACTGTGAGGCTCCAGGGTTTCGGGTTTGAGGTTTCGGGATTACCGCGCTGACGGATTATCCCACGCTTCCTGCAGTCTGAGTCTACCATGGCGCTGCCATAAAATCGAAGATAAGCTGACACTCGACAAAATGAAGCTGGATGCTACACGCTAAAGACCGGTGCTTGCAGCTTTAAATCAGCAAATGGCTAAACAGCAAGCAAGATAGTCAACGAGTATGGAAGTCCCATATACTCCGGACCCAAAACTTGTGCAGCTCTTCTCACGCCCTCAGACACACAGACATACACTGTCACACACATACACACATTCAAAACGATCCCAGATTCCCTTTTCGGATGCGAGCTGCCACCTGCCCGGAGTCGGTGGAGGCGTACAGGGCCCATCCTTGGTTTCTTGCTCTCAAAGTCTAAGATCATCATTGCGGCCTTAATAATTGGACTTGGGTCTTGGGCATCGTATACGTACTCTGCAGGGCTAGCCTGTTCAACATGATATGGCTTTAAGCAGCTGCACACGTGCCGAATCAAGGCGAGCAGCCCACATTGACGAGCCCCGTATCTTTAGTCGCGCAAACGCCTGCGCCCTTGTCCTGGCGCAAGCTCTTCGAACGCCGAAAATAACCACTCCTGTACTGTTTATGATTCTCAGGTTACCCCTAAGAGTTCCTACGAGTGTCATAATTCCTATCCCAATTCCCAAAGTTGAACGGTTCCGGGGCGGAGACTTCCGGGTTCTGGCGGCAAGAACCAGATTCGAGGAACCCCTATTAGGGCTTATAAGGTTTAGGGGTTCAGGGTCTGGGGTTTAGGGTCGAGGGCCTCAACTGTAGTCTCTGGATTTGGTTGAAATGTTTCCTTGCTACAGTGCTTCGAAAAAGCGTGCAAAATCGACTCTGCCATGCTTGTATCTAGTGGTCCATGGGACTGCATCATATTTGTAACAACCTCCTAACTCCTGCACATGATTTTCCGTTAGAGATCAGAATGCACAGAATCTGCCAGACTAAAACGAATTGATAGGATATTGAATGAGTCATGGATGCAGAACCCCACAAGCCTCCACTGGCTGGATGACCTGGCCACGACTGCCGTCATGTATTAGCGCGGTGCACAGCAACAAGACTGCAGTAGTGGGCCTTGGATTTATTGATTTGGGGAAGACATATTAGGATAGCAGCTACGTAGATCAGATTGTTGAGAAGAGCAGTATAGTGTGTACGAGGACTTAGGAACAACTGAGAGGTATGCGAACAGCGGTCAAACAAGAGGAGCATAACAATGTTAAAACGTTGTTTGGCTCGGCTCGAGCTTCATATTGATTTCGTCATTCAAAACCGTCGGCGGCAGTTTATGGACATGGACGTCAAAAAAAGAGTGCAAGCGGCTCTGAGGTGAGAATACAAGCTAAGCAAAGGAACCTGCAAGAGCCGAGGAGCTTGAGAACTGGACATAAAACAGGGGCTCCGCCGAGGCCGCATATCCAGCGAGCCAGGAGGCCAACCCCAAACTCTGGAGCCACTATCCTGAACCCTCGACTTCCTAAACCCTAAAGCCTAAACGCTATAGCCTAAATCCTATAAGCCCTATAGACCCCAAGCCCTCACTAACTGTGAACCTAACCCTGAACTGCAGGCCAAGGATCGCGCACTCAAACCACCTACTCCTTGAATCTGAAACAACCTTAACCCTGAACTCTGAACCCAAAATGCTGAAACCTAAGCCCGAAACCAATACCCGGAACCCGAAAGCCGGATTCCCAAACTCAAAACCGGAAACCCCCACATCCATATAAGCCCTTGTGCCCAGCTTTTTGCACACTATGACAGCCTTTGGCACAGAACTTAACCCCAAATCCAAACCCCATAAAACGCCCCCCAAGAACACCTGAAAAGAGCCGCTGCGAGGCGCAAACAGGATCCCCTAAACCCTAACCCCCAAACCCAGATCGGAAGGAGACAAATGGCCTCAAGGCGCTGAGGAAGGCTCTCACTCAGCAGCCACTTGGTCCTCAACCACTGCAAGCATTTTACAGGATTTTCTTGCCAGGGGCACTATCGGTTTAGGGCGGGTTTAGGGGTTTAGGGGTTTGGGGTTTAGGGTTTACGGTTCGTAGAGGGGCTGCCAGGGTTTTAAGAGTTCTATGCATGCGCACTGTGCTTTGTGAGACCCTGTCCCTTCTACCAAGCATTTTCCCCCTCGCCCCCACTGGCCCCAGCGGGTCGACTAGCTATTACTAAGCATGCAACTGGTATACTGTATACTCACTTAGTAATACTTCGTTTTAGTGTTGATTACTGCTAACTAAGGAAAGTCGCGTGGAAGAGTTTGCATAAGAGGGCACTGGTTTAGGAAGTTTAGGGGGGTGTCGGCCCGGGATGCGTTTAGGGGTCGCAGAAGGTTTGAGGCAGGGCGATGTTGCTGAAAACTGAAGCATGGTCTGAGGTTGATTTAAGGTTGGAGTTTAGAGAGCATTATTGGATGTTAGTAGACGTACACGGAGATTTATGATGGGTTTAGAGCGGTTTGGGGCTTATTTGGGGGTCTGCGAGGTCAGGGGGCTTTAGAACTTTAGAACTAATGAAAACCTCGACGTCAATGGCCGGTCACTCAAGGTAACTAACTAGAAGACAACCTTTCAAACTGAAGACATTTTCTTTCATCCTTCCCTCGACCCCACAACTTCCCCCTCCACTAAGCCACTAAGGAAATATGTTTATCTTACCTTAAACTGCAATTTACGACTAGCAAGAGGGAAAATAGCAGGCGATCCGACCAAACCCCGAGCACAATGAACATGACAACCACAAATCGTGTCTGAACTGGCTCCGGCCCGAGCCCATGAAAGAGGTCCACCTAAGTTCGTCACTCATCAATTGTAGCATAATAACACAATGTACAGGAACCACAGTTCTCAAGACTGTGTTCTCTCCTAAAGAAAGCTCCCTAGTATATTCTCAGGTTGACCGGTTCCACACTTAGGAGCCGCACTTAGGAGCCGCATCCGGACTCCCAATAGGCCCAGGATCTTTTAGGGGTCAGGGTGCTAATGTAGGGGCGTCAATAACTAGAATAGCTAGGGTGTTGGGTAGATTATAGGAAAATTACAAGAAGGAGCCCTGAGGAATGTTTGTGATAACTTTATAAGCCCTAAACCCTAAACCGTGGCTTCTACCTGTATGTTAGACCCCTGGAGTCCCTGGCCCTAGCCCTCCGAAAGCCCTGAACACCAAACGCTAAACCGGGAACCTTGATATGTGCCCTAACTCGACATCACTGACTATTTTTTCTGGAGGGGGGGTCTGGGGGCTGCTGGGTTGACCCTAAAACCTATACCGTAAACAGTAAGCCCTGAACCGCAAAGTTTGCCAGCCAGGGAGCTCAGTGTAGCTGGTACCCATGTTAAGCGAGTGCTCTACGATCGACCTTCCATCCCGGTCCAGCAGCAGAACGCGCTGCCTTTTGTGAAGATATCCTCGGCTAACAAAGGATTGAACACTTTCAAGACTGCATGTAAGCCCTGGATTTAGGATTGAGGGTTCCGGGCCAGTTTACTGCAGGATACAATATGCTCAGCATCCGGGAATGGTTGTCCCGCGTCTGAGACCCTTAGTTGGGTTTGAAGACAACGAGGGAAAGGCTTGACGGCTTCAGCCGCCGGGTGGTACATTACGCTAAGAGCGAACCCTAAACCCATAACTCGGAACCCTCGTGTGAACACCGCCCCCCCCCCCCTTGATTTTCGGGTTCTTCTCTTCAAAGGATTGTGTTTGAAACACGGCTTCTACTAATTATCTTCCAAGAGAGCCTAAAGGCCTGAACAGGGCCTGAACTTTGACCATTAATTGCGTAGGGCTGGGCCCTCATCCCTAACCCTGAACCCGAGACCCTGATCTCTGGTCCTAAACTCTCCTGAACCCTAGCCATAAATCTCCGACCCTTCATGCTCTAAACATCTCGCAAACCCGAAGTCCCAGTGCTAAACGCTTCACAGTTTAGGGTTTAGGGTTTAGAGTTATAAGGCTTAGCCGGACAGCTCTCCTCAGCATCAGCGAACCCTCCCAGAAAAGGAAAGGTGCAACAACAAGAACAATGGTCAAATGAAGTAGCACAGCCGCAACTTGTACTGCTTCGTTATTCATAGGTGACAGGGTCTACATACGAGGAGTTTGCTGTTATACCTCATACCCCTTGCTACATGAGCATAACTTGGTAATGGCTACAAGAATGCGCTGTTTAGTGCGGTCATCGTTTTGTGGTTGCGTTATCACTTGCAATGTTACTTCTACGACTCTAGTTTCGAATGCTTGCTTGCATGATGACTCTTCAACATTGTGTTGGTGTTGTTGTTCTTCCTGCTGTTGCTGTTGTTGCTGTGGTCGAACTTTAGTACAAATACCATCTCCGCACTTCCATCAAGGCAGCCTTGCACGAGCCCAGTCTCCGATGCTCTTCCAGGGGGTGCGCAAAGACGCAGTAGGAAGCGCCGGGTTCAGAGTCACCTGCCCAGCGTCTCGTGTGAGAATGGGAAGGATTTCGAGCATAGAGCTCGGGGTCGGGTTCATAAAGGGTGCTGGGGGTCTGCAACCATTCTTCTGGCTCATGCTGCGGATGTTGATTCTGTATGCCCGAGGTTGACCTTACTTTAGAGAGACCCCGATAAAGCTGCCACTGGCATTTGGGACGGCAGAAACCTGGCATGCACTTGCAAATCTTTGCTTCAACATCCAACCATATCTAGCCTAAACCCTGAACCCCAAACCCTAAGGCCTAAACCTAGATGATGCGTATGACATGGCAATTATCACATACACACGCGTGCCGGCATGGACCCCAAACAATGCACCTAGCAGTAGAGAGCCCTCTACCCAAGACCAAATCCAGGGCAGCCGTTGAGGCTACGAAGACCACCCCATGAGCCCAAAACGCGCATCGCAGCTGTGGCGGATGAATGCCACTGTGGCGGCAACAAAGACTTCGGGCTGCGGCAGGCAGACGACGCGTTTAGGGGTAGAAACACGAGTCGCACCCCAAACATGCAGGAAACACTGTGGTCAGAGCACGACTTCGCGGAAACCGTGGGAAGAGCAGTCGCACACTCAAATACACACGTACTGTGACCGGACTACGATGGCCAACTTCAGGAAACTCGTAGACACCGAAAATGAAAAACGACGCGATTTCGAGACCACAGCAAGCCAATCCCTTTACCCTGACGTAAGCACCACATTTTTATGTCAGTGATTTGCTGAATTGCTTGTACATATCTCAACAGAGCGTTGCAGAACATAATAGAATTCATGGAAAGATGACACGCCACCTTTACAAGGCAGCACGGCACTTACGGTACACGACAGCAATACCAAATAGGATGTTGCACTTGGTGTGTGACTGCTTGTCTAAGTCAGAGAAAAAAATCAGCACAGTATCCAAAATCCAATACCTCGACTTTTGAACAGCAACCGAAAATCATCCTATTTTTTTGGGGCCGGATTGGCGCCTGAAAAGTAGAACACGGCTTTGGGGTGTGTATGTATGTATGTATGTATGTATGTATGTATGTATGTATATATATATCTACATATATTATACGTATAGATACAGACTACAGTTGCTACAGTTCTAGTATGGACTATACTGGGACTATCACTTACTAATGATTCTGCTATCTGTATGAATTGTCTATAGTAGCTTTCCCATGTCCCTCGAAGCTCTGACTTCCCAAGATAATGGACAATTTATTGTCTTTTTCGTCTTTTTCTGCGACAAGCCAAGGCACGTTCTTGAGTGGCAAGGTGCCCTGATACAGGTCCTCCTCCTGCCAAGGCTGCGTCGCACTTTCGGGCTTCCGGGATACTGGCCTTGGTGGTATTCATGGGACTTCGGGCCGTGGGGCTTGGAGCCAGGGGCTCTGCTCCTATTGTGGCTTCGAGTTGGAGAAGGCAGAAACTTGAGACTGAAGCTGCGAAACCGAATAACAAGCCCATGCTCCTTCCAGCATGCATTGCTCGTGGGCAAAAAAGCAGGAACATGCCTGCCGACACTGGTACAACTCCCCAAAAATCGTAAAGTCCCAAGCGCTGGACACTAACTCACAACAAAATCACCAGCCTAATTCCCAACACCAGGTTTAGTAAAGTTTAGGGGCTAAAGGTACCACCCTGTCCTTGCCCTCCAAGATTAAGTCCGCACCATAGATCTCAAACTGATCACTGAGAACGAATTTCCTGAACAAGCACAAGTGGAGGCGTGCGGCACTTACACAATCGCGCCTTTCAGGTTCCTTGCTGTTGTAATAGAGGCTCACTGCATGGTCACCGGATGAATTATCTATCCAAGACAGACTCGAAAGATTTCCCAGGGTCCCCAAATACCGGGCTGCTCAACGCCAATATTTACACAGTAGGGCACTCAGGAGGGCACCAGAGTCTGGTACTGTAGAACGACTTCAGACTTGGACTGGAGGGGGTGCTTTCGTCAATATCGGTCTCAGAACATAAGCTGGCACTCGGCCTGTGCAGGGGTGTTTCTCCCTGGAGCTTCCGTGACGGAAGGCCATGTACAAAACACTCACCTGACGATACATGATGATGCTGGTCATGATCATGGAGATGATGATGATGATGATGATGATGATGATGATGGTGATGGTGATGGTGGTGATGATGATGACGATGATGAGGATGAAGATGATGATGATGATGGTGATGGTGATGATGATGATGATGATGATGATGATGATGATGGCGAGGGGGAAGAGGTGGAGGTGGAGGTGGAGGCGGAGGGGAGGAGGAGGAGGGGGAGGAGGAGGAGGGTGGTGTTGATGGTGCCGATGATGATGATGATGGTGTGATGATGACGGTGATGGTGATGAAGAAGAAGAAGGAGATCATGATGATGATGATGGTGATGATGATGCTTATGATGACGATGATGAGGATAGATGGTGAAGGCTATGATGATGGTGATGTTGTTAGGAAAATGATGAGATGAAGGAAATGATGATGAGTTTAATTACATCATGAGGATGAAAGCCATTCTGATGCTGTTGCTGTGATGACAATAATGATTGTCGTGGTGGTGAGGAACAATCGCTAGGCGAAGTGGAAACCGAATAGAGCATCCCTCCCGGGTTGCGAAGAATCATTTTCTCAGAACCTGCACCCGCGATTCCCGACACCCTATGGGCAGCTCTCTAAATTAGGTTCCGTTTAGGATCCCTTTTTACAAGGGTGCCGTGTTATTTTTTTGGGACCCTCAAAGGAACCCTACTTGAGAGAACTACCCATATGGGCCGGGTGGGCTTTAGGGGGCCCGTGGAGGTAAGGGCTCTAGGACTACCATCATTTTCAGTGTATATCATGTGTTTAGGGTTTAAGGTTTAGGGACTCGGGCTCTAGGACTACCTTCATTTTTAATGTATATCATGGGCTTCGAGTTTAGGCTTTATTTACGGGCTCTAGGACTACGATCAAGTTTAGCGCATACCATGGCCTTATACAGCATGTTACGGAAAGTTGTTGTTAGTATCACTGCAGTCCGACCTTATAAAAAGATCTCAGGGCCAAATCAACAAAGATCTACCGAGGCTCTTTGCTTCGGGATTGCAGCTCAAGGCAGATGGGCGGAATGCCCCATGTGGCCAGTACCTCAGCTGCACAGGGCATATACCTCATACAATACGGGCTTTTTTTGGGTTTGAGGGTTTAGGGAAGGCTTATTTAGATGTCGTATGATAGAGTTTGGAGTTTAGGGTCCTTTTTGCCGCCGTAGCGGCAGAACTGACAAACGTATTCCAAGGCATTGGCTTACCGGCGCAATTGCTTCGTATATATATATATATACACATTTTTTTTTATATCGGCAGCGCAAAGCTTCAATACCGACGTGCTCAACGACCTCACCACCAAGTCCATCGTGGCCGCGCAAACAAGATCAACAAATCGCAGACGGAAGATCCCTTGAGCCTGGTAGTACACGGCCTGAATAGAATAAGCTCTTGCGCCCAAAAAGGCTTTTTTCAACCCCTTTCGAAGACTTCCACATTAGGGCTCTATTGACTCTACTGCTTGGTCACGATCTGTAGGGTCTTTTTTTTTGCGAGGTTCTACATAAACCCAACAAGCTATGCGGCCTCTATAAGGCTCAGGGCTTAGAGGGCTGGGCTAAACTTCTTCGACGCTACATGGCATATGAACCCTCGGAGAAAACGGTGCAGACCGAAGCCCCAAAACCTCATCATTCACCCCAGGCCCTAAACTCCCTAAGCCCCATCTACAAACCTGCAAACTGCCAGCCCCGGTACATCCTGAGTCTGATCAGCCCTAAACTCTAAAGACCCTACAAAATCTCAGCCTGCTAGCATCTCAACCGGCTTCACCGAGGATTTATCGAAGAGATCGGCAGGTGCCAGCCGTGAAGCCTTCATCTGTGTCGTTAGGGATTAGGGTCTAGGGATGGTTTAGGGTATGAATAGTATCAGGGCTGAACGTTAAGGAGCAGTGAGGGGTTTGTGGGTTTGGGGCGTGGGACTTAGGCTCCTTGGGGTAGTGTTGTCACTTGTTAGCAGCTGGCAATGCCTACCAGACCTCTCTATATGCTCATTGCATCCGCACATCTAGGGCATGATCGTGCTGCTCTTGTGAAGTGGAACACAGAAGACAAATAGTACATGGCTGGATTCGAAGGCAACACAATAGTCAATGAGTGCCGCAGCCGGATTCAAGCACACCCAAACACACGCATCTATATAGATATACACATACATACACGCATACACACATGTGTATACAAATATCTATATACATGTATGTATGTATGTAT